CCCTCCCTAAGATCTCGGAAAGTTACCGGCCGATTTTCAAAATTCAAACGGCGTTCGATAGCCCCACCCGGGAACTTCCTTGTGACCAAATTTCATTGACCTAGGTCAAACCGATGACGTCACAGGTCAGGTCAAAGGTCAGATTTTCACCGTTCACAGGCATTTCAAGAAATGTGTTGTGAAATCGAGTAAATTGGTAATTTATTGAAAACCATCGATGGTAAGTTGTTCGTCAAACACATACTTTGCTATCTGAGGTCACTGATACCAGGTCAGGTCACAGCGAGGTCAGGTCACCGGGGGTCACAATATGAAAGTGTCGTGTGATACATGTTTTATGGTCCATTTTACATGACAAATGCGATTATGTGGGTTAGACAGTCTTTGGGGCCAGCCTAGGTCACGTTTTGGTGAAGGTCAGGTCAAGGTCAGGTCAAATTAGGTCAAAGTTCAAAGTTGATATTTTTGCATAAAATGGGTATCCCTTCGATGCAGCTCGTCACGGGGAGTCTACTGGTGGTCTTTGTTTTGCTCTACGAGGTCTAGAATTGCCAAAAATTGAGTTTGAAAATTTGACGTCATCATTTTTGAACAGTTTTTTCGCTATAACTTGGCCAAAAAACGAGGTATCGATCTGAAATTTGGTATGTAGATAGAAGACGGTAGATACTATCACATATATTCCGTTTTTTTTCGCAACTCAAAAAACTTTTTGGATTTTTTGGCTAATATATCCAAAAAATGCTTTTTTTATTTTTGGGGGTCAAAACTCTAAAATTTCAAAAATCCGAGATAGCAGTTTTGTAGACCTGTCAATTCTACACCTTTTATGTGTCGATCATTTTTCTGTATCTTCAAAGCTGTAGGCCTGACAGGTCTTCTCGCGAAGGTCTTTTTTCGGTCGAAAATGACAGAACATGACGTCATTCTGACGTCATTTGTGGCCAACCTATCATAGCCTCTAAAATTTTTTTGTCACAATGTGTAAAATTGATGCCCGGAGGGGTCCTGAAAGTTTGGTGGCGATATCTCCAGCAGTTTAGGAGATATCGACCGAAAAGGACATGGGGAGGCCGTTTCGGCCCCCCCCCGTACGGGGCGCGGGTTATTTAATATTAGCCCTATGGGCGTTGCATGGAAAGAATGGGACCAAAAGTCGGCAGTGCTCCGCCTTAATTGAAGGTGTTCCGCCGCTACTGCTGCCAATTGATCTGTGTCCGATCTATTATAGTGTACGTCCGAGAGCCGTACGACGGCTGACAGGGCTGACAGAGCCTGGTGGTCGCGAACTGGTTTGGTAACCGTTACGCCCACCTGGGACACCCGAATAGTTAGCAACGTATAAATAGTATTCACTATGATGGCCTAACTCGGGGCAGACAGGGCACGCAACGTGGGCTTGGCAGAGTTCAGCCCTCCTGGGCCCAGAGGAATCTCCGGTATATAAATGGAAGTCACTGCTCGGGCTAACATCGGGCTTACGCCAAACGTCGCACAACTAGGGCTCAGGGCTAAACAACGGCTGTCCTGAGCTCGCCGAGAGGGCATATACCTCCGGCAGAGCATGGGCTTTAGTCGGCGTTTTTGTGTCATACGCCGACTTTAGTCTTTAGCCCAAGCGCTAGCCGACTTTAGTCCAAGCGCTAGCCGGCTTTAGCCCGACTAAAAATCTCGGGCAAGCCGCACTTCAGCCTGCTTGTGCCCGGAGTAAAATTGCTTGCTGGGCTACTGGTTAGTGGTTCAGTTGTCACTGGTTCAGTTGTCCACTGGTTCAGTTGTCACTGGTTCAGTTGTCACTGGTTCAGTTGTCACTGGTTCAGTTGTCACTGGTTCAGTTGTCACTGGTTCAGTTGTCATACTGGTTCAATTGTCACTGGTTCAGTTGTCACTGGTTCAGTTGTCACTGGTTCAGTTGTCTACTGGTTCAGTTGTCCACTGGTTCAGTTGTCCACTGGTTCAGTGGTCCACTGGTTCAGTTGTCACTGGTTCAGTTGTCCCTGGTTCAGTTGTCACTGGTTCAGTTGTCACTGGTTCAGTTGTCACTGGTTCAGTTGTCACTGGTTCAGTTGTCCCTGGTTCAGCTGTCACTGGTTCAGTTGTCCCTGGTTCAGTTGTCACTGGTTCAGTTGTCCTGGTTCAGTTGTCACTGGTTCAGTTGTCACTGGTTCAGTTGTCATGGAACCGTTTTTTTTTCGCTATAACTTGGCCAAAAAAGGAGGTATCGATCTAAAATTTAGTATGTATTGTTGTGCTCGGTCGCTCCGCTTTGTCGGAGAATCCGACCCGCCGTCCAGCCTCAGCAGTAAAAAGTGTGTCGCTCTTTGTGCCTGTATTTGTGCCCCGCTAATACCAGTCAGGCCGACAGTCCCTTCGCTTAACCCGGGGCCCGGAACAAACCCGAGTCCCCCAAACCCACTGGTTCCCACCAAACAGGGCTGCCGTGGATTTCCCACGTCGGACGTCCCGGAATTACCCGAGGCCGGCCGACGCAAGAATGGTGAACGGCGGAATCAGTCGCCGGTGGCTCTCGGACCACACCCGAGGCACCTCCGACAACCCAACCCGCGGCACAAATCTCGTTCCCCACAGCCCGGGCGATGTACGACTGAGACGCTACCCCAGGTCGCACAGCACACGGGCAGCAGAGCGGCAACATGGCTGGGCCCGGCAGCACCTCTGGAGCAACCCAGGCAGCAGCACCGGTCAGCGGACGGGACAGGAGCCCTCCCAAAACAGTCAACCTCACTGGTGTCCCCGACACTTACCCGGCCACAGCCACGCACACACTGACCGCCGCCGCCGGCACGCACCGGTCGTGACCTCGGGTCAGACGTCACCACCAATCACAGCGCGGTACGGACACAAACTCGGTGCACGGTACAAAAGCAAAGTGACGACAGTCAGGGACCGGCCCGGACTCGAACCGGCAACCACCGACTGATCACGCCGGCCAAACGTCCAGACACCTTACCCACTCGGCTATCGGGGATATATGGGACGTGGCCGCACTCCAATCACCAAACATCAGTATGACACCCATTCAGTGTCCATTACAGTATATAGAAGAGACAGGGACTATCACATATATTCCGGTTTTTTCGAAATTCGGAATTTTTTTGGATTTTTTTTTTTAGTTTTCTAAAAAAACAATTGAATTTTTGGGGTTCAAAAACCCAAAATTTTGAAAATCCGAGATAGCAGTTTTGTAGCGCGGCTTTTTGTCTACATGAACATATAAAGAACTCTGAAATTGCTTGGTAACTGTAGATTTGGTGAGCGTTTCAAGATTGCATGTTTTTTGCTCATTTTTGCTCGAACATGACCTCAGTTTGACCTTAATAACTCCTGACCTAAGGTGACCTAAGACTTGAAATTTTGTGTGAAGGTGTCAGATTGATGCCATTTTCTTGCTATTCAGGAAAAACCACAGGGGGGGCCAATTGCCCCCCCCCCCCCAGCGGGTCGAGGGTTAAGTCACCAATATCAAAATTCCGAGATATGCATTTTAACAGAGTTACTGTTGCCCTTATCGATTGCTGAAAGTTTTAAAGCGATCCGTCACTCGGTGTAGGTACTTTACTATGTATATCAAGCATTGGAGCTTTTTCTGAGTTCGGGTCACTTGGCGTGACCTGGTGGCCTGACCTTGAGAGACCTTGGTCTGAAATTTTATAACATGTGATGGGAAGATGAAGGAAAGGATGCGCCTAAACTATGTAAAAAAAAACAATGTACTCGCGAAAAACCGCAGGGGGAGCACGGAGATGATCGCCCCCCCCCCCCCCCCCAGGGCCTCGTTTCATAAAGCTCTGCCGTACCTTACACCTTTCCGTAATTCACACCCTTTCAAACTACGGAGCGCAAATGAAGCCGTTTCACGAAGCCACAACTGGAATTGTTTACACCTCCGTAACTAAGCACATTTGCGTAGTTGCCGTAATTTATCAAGTGTCCTACAAATTACAATTTCATGTCAACACTTATTTTTTACGAGAAATTATAAAACAATTATGTTGAATTTTAATCTTAAAAATTATTTATGAAAAAACAAAATTGATATTGATGACCATCCTTTATTAAATCAATATATTGAAAACAGCAGAAAGCCAGCTAAGCAGAAGTGCCTTACTACGAAAGTGGCGCGGCGCGGCGAATAAACAAAAACCCGGTTTACATAGCATTTTTGACGAGGCTCTAGCTTGTTAATTTGGCGATAATTTCGATGCAGTGGTCTTCAAATATTTAGAGGGGATCATTTTGTAAATTGTGAAGCACCATTGGCGTCTTTTGCAACATCACGGACGGAGATATAAGCTTGCAACAAACCCTATGTAAACCGGGTTAAAATTCCGATAGCTGCCACAAAAAGCGACTGGTACAGAAGATTTGCAGTTCCTTTTTCTCATTTTGGCTGTTCTTTCTTCCTCACCGGGCTCAACATTATTAAATATATTAAAAATTAGCTTCGAATCTTCACATTAATTCAAATTCACGCAACATTTTTGTGCGTAGTTTACACCACTGATATCAAGAACTTGATAAAATATTTGGCGTTAATTACGTCGTTTTATGAAACCCAAATGGCATCAATTGGTCCGGAATCGAGTATTTGCCGTAAATGAAGCTCCGTAATTTCGATGGCGTGAATTACTCCGGTTTCCGGCTTTATGAAACCGAATTGGCATCAAATACGCCTAATCTGGCATAATTGACGGAACGCCGTAAGTAATTCCTTTTATGAAACGAGGCCCAGCAGGGCGCGGGGTTAAAGCCCTTCCAACTCAGGCTACACAAGGAACCTTTTGACACTTAAAGGCCCTTTCAAACCAGTCATTCAAGGGCCCTTTTGACTGCGGACCCCCCTCCCCCCTGAGAGAAATCCTAGATACGCCACTGGTGTCAGATGAATGTGAATTGCGGTGTAGCAAGGGATAGTGCATTATTGCCATCTACATTATTTTCTCTTTGTTGTTTCTAAAAAAAATTGTTTTTGTTCGCAGTTCGTCATCGGAGTTTCGCCCACCCCCATCTCAGATGCTGAAGCTCACGGACATTGGATCTCGTCCTCTGTTCAATTCTGATCATGACATATTTAGGCAAGCTGCTCGCAAGTTCTTTGATGCTGAGGTTAAGCCATATCACGCACAGTGAGTATTGGGCTACCTCCTTTGAAACCAGGACCTATTGAGCAGTTTTTGTTTTTACTTTCATTTCATGATACCCATCAATTCTTATTCATACGTCTAGCTTGTACGGCTCTCGCGAGATTAGGCGGTAGGTTTTGCACTTATACATTTCCGGTTATATCTCAGAAACTAATCGATCTAAGATGAAGCCACTTAACACTATCATGGCCGGCTTGACCTGTACACTCACTCAATGTACGTACAGTGACGTTATCCTAGTTCACTTAAGATAAATATCCTGTGTTAACTGCAAGGCTGTGTGCTATTCACTTTATCTTGGGCTTTGAAAGAAAAAAGGTTATATGTTTAAGGTTGACACGTGTTGCCCTTGTTGCTGTAGGATATGAAGCCTGGAGGTATTCAGTGTTATTGCAATCTGTTGAGTAAGCAGCGACATCAAAATGCTTGTGATGTGTGTAGGTATGTAGAATGTAGATAATGTGTTCACAACTTCATTATTCTTGCAGGTGGGAGAAAGATGGGCAGGTTTCCCGAGAAGTTTGGCTGAAGGCCGGAGAGCAAGGTCTCCTCGGGGTCAATACCCCGGCCGAGCACGGAGGCATCGGAGGCGACTGGCTGGACGCTACTATCGTCCTCGAGGAACAGTAAGCTCGTGTTTGCAAGCATTAAGGTTCTACGAGCAGTGATCTTATGGTACAGCTTTGAAGTGCCACACTTTCTCATGACTGGTGAAAATCTTTTGCTGACTAATCGTGCGTGCACATTTGCAGGGCATATAGCACGTGTAGCGGGCCTGGCTTTGCGATACATAGCGACATTGTGATGCCATACATCTCTCACTATGGCACACCGGAGCAGATCCAGCGTTACATTCCGGGACTGACGGACGGTACAAAGATCGGCGCTATCGCCATGACCGAACCGGGAGCGGGCAGGTACGTACTCGCGAAAAACCGCGGCGGTAGGTGAGATCTGTTTGGTTACGGCGACTGTTGGTGAAGGCCAGACACAGAGCGTTATGTTAAAAAGAACTTTGTTGTCAAGGGATATCTAAATGTGTTGTCACTTATCTCAATGCCAATTATTTCATCACATTTGTGGTATAACTTAGCATTGTTGTCTTTTAACAGTGACCTTCAAGGAATTCGCACAACGGCAGTGAAGGACGGCGACGACTACATCCTGAACGGCAGCAAGGTATTCATCACCAACGGCTACATGTGCGACGTGGTGATCGTGGTGGCCATCACCAACCCCTCGGCCAAGTCGCCCGCTCACGGCATCAGCCTCTTCCTCGTGGAGGAGGGCATGCCCGGCTTCCGCAAGGGCAAAAAGCTAAACAAGATGGGCATGAAGGCGCAGGACACTGCCGAGCTGTTCTTCGAGGACGTGCGCCTGCCCAAGTCGGCCCTGCTGGGGAAGGAGAACGGCGGCTTTTACCAGCTGATGCAGGAGCTGCCGCAAGAGCGTCTACTCCTCGGCATCAGCTCTATGGCTGCGAGCGAATGGGCCTTTGAGGAGACCCGCGAGTACCTTCTCAATAGGAAGGCCTTTGGCAAGACACTCAGCAACCTGCAGGTCGGTGATTTGCCGCATTTTTTCTGAAGATACTTTTTCTTTTTTGTAAGACTAAGGTGAACCGTTTGAAATGTTTTTCTTGGAGCTACCTGAGTTATTCACCATTGTCGAATAGGTTTTTCAACCAGTTACAGCATGGAACAAAAACTGTTTGATTGACGCATTGCCTGTTTTTTAAATTAGACGATTCAGCACCGTCTGGCGGCGATGAAGACCGAGCTGGTTGTGAACCGCGCCTTCACCGATCAGTGCATCGAGCTGCACAACCAGGGCAAGCTGGACGGCGCCATGGCCTCCATGTGCAAGTACTGGATCACGGACCTGCAGAACCGCATCACTTACGAGGGTGTGCAGCTGCATGGTGGCTGGGGCTATATGTGGGAGTACCCTATCTGCAGAGCATACGTCGACGCCAAGGTTAGCATACCAAATGTTTCTTAACCATTTGCGAATTTGCCGGTCGGGCAATTGAGCAATTGGTTATTATTTGTCATCTGCATAACTGCATAACATTACATTGATATTATTTTCCTAAATAACTGAGCGAATACCTGTTATTATTGTTGTTGTCGTTTTTATATTTATATTGTCTAATCCACCTCTCATCGTTCCAGGTGCAAACAATTTATGGAGGAAGTAATGAGATTATGCGAGAACTGATAGCCCGGTCCATAGTGTCGAAGAAGTGAGCTCGGAGCTATGGAAGTAACGTTTTATGGTGAAAAGGTGAAGTGCAATATGTCAGCATAGATTTGTTGCAGAAATGCACGGGAAATTGAATGTCTATAGACAACGTCGCCATGTTATGTAGAAATATGTGATGACTGATGATAATCCTCTTCTGTCATGGATTCTGCTCTTGCTTGATGCCAACGCATTAAAACATCGAATTATTCTCACACTGCCGTTGATAAGGTAGGTACCGTAAACGGGGGTGACTTTGCCATGTTTTCAACTTTAGACGCTTGTATTATTTAAACTTGTTAACGCATTGGGATGACTCTATGTTCAAAACACGGATGAAGATTAGGTCTTTGGTTTTTGCTATAATCGTAATTTATATCTTGCCTGAAAATGTTAATTTTTAAAGAAAATGAGTTGTGGCAAAGTTAAACTGAAAAAGGGGTGACTTTGCCACTATGCCAAATGATGGTTTTTTAACGCTAACAAATATTTATCAAACATTTTTTTCAGTTGTATGGGGAAGGGCAACGATCCTTAATTGTTTGATGGGAAAAATATAAAGTAATTCGATGTTTTTTGCTCTTAAATGATGTACAAAAAGGAGAGATACATTACTTTTATAATACATTATACTTGTTGAAAATAATTGAGATTTTATGGTAAACAGAAACTGAAAAATGGTTCAGATTGTATCGGTACTCTAGGACCTTGCCGCTTTCTTCCAGCGGCATTCAGAGGAACAGAAAGAGGACGTTCTTGCGGCAACTTTCCGGCAACCTTATTATCAGTGTTTTGATCTATAAAATGGTACATATTTCTTCAGCCAGTCATACTGGCCAACTCAGGAAATGTAGACGATCTTGACTGTGCTGAAAAAATGGGCCCAGCTTCATCCATTTTTTTATTTTGGTAATTTTTGCTTTTCTATACTACCACTGTGCATTCCTGTGTTAATTTTCAATATATAAGCTTTTACTTTCTAAAAACCAATTTGGAGATCAAAATGCTGCTACCTTAAAATATTATTTTGAATTGCATTGGATAAGTATTTCATTTTTGCATTGATAACATGGTGGCAAAGTCACCCCATGTTGTCTGTGATTCACTTGGAAAAATCTCCACCAAAAATTTTAGCTAAATGAAGGGACAAATGCCAGTTTTGTTGGATATGCTAACTAAACAGTATTGTCATGATCAATCATACCAAGTTTCAGCATCGCAGTTCGTCTGAAACATGATTAGATAATAAGAAGTTCTGACCTCTTCAAATTTGACCATTTCAATGACTCCAATAAAGTGGAGTCCAATTAGGCATTTAGTGGTAAGTTATCTCTCAGTGTTGGTTATATTGGAAGGCCCATCAATTATCTTTCATGCGTGCATAAAACAGTATTACATTCTTCGTAAAATATCACTGGAGATCTACCTAAAGGCTTTTTCGAGAAGCATGGCAAAGTCACCCCGCAAGGCAAAGTCACCCCCGTTTACGGTACCTGCTAATTAAGCATTTTCAAATAGTTTTCATTTTCATAATTTATAGCATATTTGGTAACTAGCCAGAACAAATATTTTATGGATAACTTGACCATTTCCGAACGATAGCCTGTTAACCATTCAGCACTCCAGCGTGTCTGTCGTAAGGTTGTCTTTTTATCTGTGCTTACACCAACTGTCTTCGAATGTCATTGATTTATTTGATATCTTGGTATGTCAAAGGTGCATGTGCTTAAATGACCTCGATGGCAGCTCCTTTTAAGAAAACTAGTGCTTTTGAAAACGTAGCTTTTTGAAGTCTTTGCGGTTCGTGGTGATAAATATCTAGATACATAGTACATACCTCCTAAGTTTCGCATCCAATGTCGATGTTGTTAGTTGAATTAGATATTCAAGCTGTATCTCTTTTTAGTGTGATGAAATAAACACGTTCAGCATGTGGTGCGCCTGGGCTGTCTTATTCGTTGCCTTGTCCCTTAGGATATGCAATGACCACGTCCACGTGTGTCGCCGGCCGACACGGGGCTTCCCGCCGGCCGGTGCAGACCAATTCGCGCGCCGATTTGTTGTGACGGCGCCAGTGACGTCGCTACCCAGCTCCGGTGCTGGGTTAGTCATTGTGCTGCCTCCAGCCTGGGGGTGGCACAGGGCGCGCCTGTGAAGTGAACTTTGATTCGTTGTCATTTGTCTCGTCCCCTATCACGATGCAACCGCAACCCGCGTGTGTCTGCATTCTGCCGCATTGCGGCCCCGGACGACCAATCCGCACGCCGAACCGTTGTGACGAGGCTACCCCGCCTCCCTGCGATGGGGGCGGGCCGGCGGCTGCGGCGCGACAGCGCGGTCGTGGAACCGCGCGGGAATTCTTGCCCAGTAGTTCCTGAGTTATACATAGAATGGCTGCAATAGGCGAACACGTAAAGTTAACCTTTTGAGGTCGCCGAGGTCACCTAAGGTCACCATATTCGAAACGGCGGATGAAATCGCATACACTGAATCGACTGGTAGTGTTTTCGCCGCAATCGGCCCAGTAGTTCCTGAGTTATAGAATGGCTGCTGTAGGCCACAACGGTCATTTGACCTCCCGGCTTCCAAGCTCACCGAGGTCACCTGAGGTCACCATATTCGAAACGGCTGATGAAGTCGCATACGCTGATTCCACTGGTGGTCTTTTCATCGCGATCGGCCCAGTAGTTCCTGAGTTATAGAATGGCTGCAATAGGCCACAACGGTCATGTGACCTCCCAAGGGCACTGAGGTCACCTGAGGTCACCATATTCGAAACGGCTGATGAAATTGCATACGCTGATTCGACTGGTGGTCTTTTCGTCGCGATCGGCCCGGTAGTTCCTGACCTATAGAATGGCTGCAATAGGCGAAAACGTAAAGTTGACCTTTTGAGGTCACCGAGGTCACCTGAGGTCACCATATTCAAAACGGCTGATGAAATTGCATACGCTGAACCGACTGGTGGTGTTTTCGTCGCGATCGGCCCAGTAGTTCCTGAGTTATATAATGGCTGTCGTAGGCCACAACGGTCATGTGACCTCCCAAGGTCACCGAGGTCACCTGAGGTCACCATATTCGTATCGGCTGATGAAATCGCATACGCTGATTCGACTGGTGGTCTTTTCGTCGCGATCGGCCCAGTAGTTCCTGAGTTATAGAATGGGTGCAATAGGCGTCAATGCCAAGTTGACCTCTTGAGGTCACCGAGGTCACCTGGGGTCACGGTCTTCGAAACGGCTGATAAATTCGTACCCCTTGATTCGACTGGTGTTTCGTTCGTTCCGATCGGTCCAGTAGTTCCTGAGTTATAGAATGGCTGCAAGGGTGGCGGTCGAATAGTGTTGTCCGCTAGACGCACCCCCAAAATAACGTCTCGTCAATTCAGCAACAACAAATATCAGCCTCACAGCAGCATATTTCGGGGTGTTTCAATTTGCCTAAAAATTGGTATATAGAGCCTCCTCGATGCGCTGATTCCGAAAATGTACCTCTTTGGGGTGGTATTTTGCACCGTTAACGAGTTAACGACCAATTAACATTTTAGCGGGAAACGGCGGGGTCTTTCGATTTGGCTGAAAATCGGCATACAGGGCCTCCTTGATGCGCTGATTCCGAAAATGTACCTCTTTGGGGTGGTATTTTGCACCGTTAACGAGTTAACGGCCAATTAACATTTTAACGGGAAACAGCGGGGTCTTTCGATTTGGCTGAAAATCGGTGTACAGGGCCTCCTCGATGCGCTGATTACGAAAATGTACCTCTTTGGGGTGGTATTTTGCACCGTTAACGAGTTAACGACCAATTAACGTTTTAGCGGGAAACGGTGGGGTCTTTTGATTTGGCTGAAAATCGGTATGCAGGGCCTCCTCGATGCGCTTATTCCGAAAACGTGCCTCTTTGGGGTGGTATTTTGAACCGTTAACGAGTTAACGGCCAATTAACATTTTAACGGGAAACAGCGGGGTCTTTCGATTTGGCTGAAAATCGGTGTACAGGGCCTCCTCGATGCGCTGATTCCGCAAACGTGCCTCTTTAGGGTGGTATTTTGCACCGTTAACGAGTTAACGGCTAATTAACATTTTAACGGGAAAGGCCGGGGTCTTTCGATTTAGCTGAAAATCGGTGTACAGGGCCTGCTCGATGCGCATATTCCGAAAATGTACCTCTTTGGGGTGGTATTTTGCACCGTTAACGAGTTAAGGACCAATTAACGTTTTAACGGGGAACGACGGGGTCTTTCGATTTGGATGAAAATCGGTATACAGGGCCTCCTCGATGCGCTGATTCCGAAAATGTGCCTCTTTGGGGTGGTATTTTGCACCGTTAACGAGTTAACGACCCGTTAACATTTCAGCAGCATATTTCGGGGTCTTTCGATTTCGCTGAAAATCGGTTTACAGGGCCTCCTTGATGCGCTGATTCCGAAAATGTGCCTCTTTGATGTGCCTCTTTGGGGTGGTATATCGAAAGACCCCGAAATATGCTGCTGAAATCGATACCCAGTAAACATGCCGACGACGGCCCAACGTCGGGCCGAGGCTCGGCCCGACGTCGGCCCTAAGTCGGTTCAACCTCGGCCCGACATCGGCTGGACGTCGGGTACGCCCGCATGTACCGACGTCCAGCCGACGTCGAGCCGACGTCGGGCCGAGGTCGTTTGCCGAGGTTGACGAGATCGTTTGTCGTTGGACCGACGGGGCCGACGTCGGCATATTTACTGGGACAACGCGCCAAAAATATCAACCGGCGGTGGGATTCGAGCCCCCAGTCGCCGACGTCGGCATGTTTACTGGGACAGCGCGCCAAAAGCATCAGCCGGCGACGGGATTCGAAACCGTGTCATTTGAACGCGAGGCTAGTGTGCTAACCACTACACCACGCAGCCAGATGTCGAAATCAGTTTGTTTTGTTGGGTTATGCCCTTTCGGTCTGACAAGACCATTTCAGAGCCGGAAGGATGATAGGATGGAGACATTGGTCTTGGCGAGCACCCTGGGTCGCAGATGAGAACGAGCCCAGATCGCAGCTGACACGATGGTCAGGTGGGCCAACAGGTGGAAGATGGTGATCGCCGGGGAGAAGACCCAGGCCCTGGTCCTCTCCCAGTGGTCCCATGACGCCAAGGACTTCCTGATCAAGGTGGCCGGAACATCGGTCAAAGGATCCCCGCACCTGAGACTCCTAGGAGTCACTTTGACAGACTCCTCCACTTCGGGGAACATTGCAAGAACCTGCGCCGGAAAGTGAAACCCAGGACGGCCCAGCTGAGGAAACTGGTCGCAGCTGGGGCCTCCAGGAGGCGCAACTACGGACCGTTGCCAACGGTTACGTCCGGAGTGCCCTGGAGTACGCGGCAGCGGCGTGGCTCCCGGCGGCGTCTGAAGCTCACGTCGAGCTGATCGAACGCGAGCTGCGAGCGGCGGCCCGTGCGGTCACTGGCTGCACGGCCTCGACCCCGGCCGCGCCGCTGATGGCCGAGGCCGGCATCCCGCCGGCGCGAGTGCGATGCCCGGCGCTGGCCGCCCGCATGGTGGGCCAGGCCGCTTCGCTGCCCGGCGACGATCCGCTCCGTGCCGTCGGAGAGATGCACGTCGCGCCCCGCCTGAGGACGACCACCGGATGGCGTGAGGTCGGCCACCGCGCCCTGGCTTGGTCCACAGGCGCGGTCGACGTCAAAGATGAAGGACGCCCTACAAAGACCATCCCACCGTGGGACCACCATGAAGAAGCTGTGACTTTCTGCCTGGACGTCGGCCCCGGCGGCCAGAGAGCGGCCCCTGCGCACATACGGAGGGGAGCGGCAGAGGCTACACTGGAACATCTGCCGCCCCGCGCCACCTGGCTATGGTCGGACGGCTCGGCGGAGAGAGGTGTCTCCCAGGGCGGGGGCGGTGCCACCATCACCCTCCCGTCGGGAGAGACTCGGGAGGTCCAAGTCCCAGCGGGCCAGCTCTGCTCCAGCACGCGGGCAGAGCTGTGTGCCCTGAAGGCAGCCCTGAACGCCATCCGAGACGCCGACGCCGACATCGCAGACGACCCAATAGTCATCTGCACCGACTCCCAGGCCGCCCTGAGGTTGCTGGAGAGCGGCGCCTCCGCCCAGACGACTCATCTAGGGATCTCCATCTGGGAGGACCTACTCGCTCTCTCCCGCCGAGGGTCACCGATCCGCCTCCAGTGGGTCCCGGCGCACTGCGGCCTGCGGGATAATGAGAGGGCCGATGAGCTGGCCAAGGAGGCCTTCGGCCTACCCCAGGAGGCAGCAGCAACAGACGTGAGGACGCTAACGAAGGCCGTCGCACGCTGCGCCTCCCACCGCTGGCGGCAGGAATGGCCGTCCAGCTTCTTCAAGGACATCATGCGGGACCGTATGCCGTCCCCGCTCAACAACCTCGACCGGGATGCCGCCGTCAACGTTCACCAGCTGCGGGCCGGGCACTGGGGCCGCTCGGAGCAGTATCTGCACCGTATCGGGCGGCGCCCCATCCCGACCTGCCAGCAGTGCAACCTCAAGGCGTGCCCCGCAGCCCACTGCATCGTGTGCAGAGAGGGCGCCGACACCCCGGAGCATGTGCTGCTCAGGTGCCCGTGCCTGGCCGGCGCCCGCCTGCGACTGACGGGCAACATCCACATTCGACCAGAGCAGCTGAAGGACGGCGAGCTGGTGGCGGCCTTGGCCGCCGGCTACCTCCGCCACAAAGAGCCCCTCATGGGGCTACAGGCCGGCCTCGGCCGGCCCTGAGGGGAACACCGACAACAACAACAACAACAACAACAGCACCCTGGGTCCAGTTCATATAGAGTCCCATTGCTGTTACATGACACTTATTGGAAAGGGCGACCCCACAAATGGATTCATATAGCCACCCTTACACACCTGCACCAACGTTTCCAAAAGTGTCCCTTTGATAAGTGGCACTTTGGCAAAGTGACACTTGCCGACTGGCCTTTCTATATGAACTAGTTGCCTGGTAAGTTGCCGGGGCTGAGCCTGAGTAAAGGATAGGCGCAGCGCCCAACTCCCAAGCACTCACCGCACCCGGCTACGGGCGAGCTCGGCTTACGGGCAATCCCAAATGGGATTAAGTTTCCCGTCAAGTCCGGATCAGGTGGTTGCGGCGTGGAGGAAGATTTGACTTCCCTGAGGATATTTTGAATACAGAAGCTCTTTATGAAACATGAAACAAGCATTTTATATTATTTTAACGGTCAAAACAGCGGCCGATGTCGGCCCGACGTCGGCTGGATCTCAGCAATTGATCTCGGTCCGACGTCGGCCCGACGTCGGCTGGACCTCGGCTGGACGTCGGTACATGCGGGCGTACCCGACATCCAGCCGACGTCGTGCCGAGGTCGGACCGACGTCGGGCCGACGTCGGCATGCCGATGCCGAGATGCCGACGTCACCCCGATGTTTGCCGACGTCGGGCCGACGTCGGCATGTTTACTGGGTATATGTTGCTGAAATATTAACGGGTCGTTAACTCGTTAACGGTGCAAAATGCCACCCCAAAGTGGTACCTTTTCGGAATCAGCGCATCGAGGAAGCCCTATATACCGATTTTCAGCCAAATCCTCCGTTTCCCGTTAAAATGTTAATTGGTCGTTAGCTCGTTAAAGGTGCAAAATACCACCCCAAAGAGGTACATTTTCGGAATCAGCGCATCGAGCAGACCCTGTACACCGATTTTCAGCTAAATCGTAAGACCCCGCCGTTTCCCGTTAAAATGTTAAATAGCCGTTAACTCGTTAACGGTGCAAAATACCACCCCAACGAGGTACATTTTCGGAATCAGCGCATTGATGAGGGCCTGTACACCGATTTTCAGCCAAATCGGAAGACCCCGCCGTTTCCCGTTAAACGTTAATTAGCCGTTAACTCGTTAACGGTGCAAAATACCACCCCAAAAAGGCACTTTTTCGTAATCAGCGCAACGAGGAGGCCCCGTAAACCGATTTTCAGCGAAATCGAAAGACCCGAAATATGCTGCTCAAATATTAACGGGTCGTTAACTCGTTAACGGTGCAAAAAAACACCCCAAAGAGGCACAATTTCGGAATCAGCGCATCGAGGAGGCCCTATATACCGATTTTCATTCAAATTGAAAGACCCCGTCGTTTCCAGTTAAAATGTTAATTGGTCGTTAACTCGTAAACGGTGCAAAATACCACCCCAAAGAGGTACATTTTCGGAATCAGCGCATCGAGCAGGCCCTGTACACCGATTATTACCTAAATCGAAAGAACCCGCCCTTTCCCGTTAAAATGTTACAGGGACCCTCCCACCTTCAAAAAAGTTTATGAATTGGCATGAAAGTGATGTCGTTCGGTTCAGAAAGAGCGAAAACGAATATCTACCAAATTTCACCGAAAAATATTCACCGGTTTTCAAGATATTAGACTTTTACTTTTGTTTACTTTTTGGGATCTCCGCTGTTCCTAGCAACTTTATCTGGAAGCAATAGTTTGGCAGCTGAAAGTGCGGCACTTGTTGCGCGCAAAGCAGCATATACCACCGCGTGCTACAAAACGTTTTAGTCAAACATTTAAAAATCGTTAGATATCTGCGCTGACGTCACACATTCAGAGGGGTATTCCTATGCATTAGCCCCTCTGAATCAAAATGCTGCAATTTTGAAATTCAATATTTCCGATTTAAGGCATTTCTCGATGTTGTGAGTGCCGAAACCGGTAATTGTGAGCCAGGGACCCCATTTTGGCTATCTCAACTCAAATCTAATGTTAAAGGGACCCTCCCACCTTAAAAAAAGTTTATGAATTGGCATGAAAGTGATGTCGCTCGGTTCAGAAAGAGCGAAAACGAATATCTACCAAATTTCACGGAAAAATATTCACCGGTTTTCAAGATATTAGACTTTTACTTTTGTTTACTTTTTGGGATCTCCGCTGTTCCTAGCGACTTTATTTAAAAGTGCGGCATTTGTTGCGCGCAATGCAGCATATACCACCGCGTGCTACAAAACGTTTTAGTCAAACATTTAACGGACGTTCGAAAGCCTGATGACGTCATCAGATTCCCGTAATGGTTAAGAGATAGGGACCACGCTGGTCCCACCCTGCAAGTAAAGGGAAGAAATTTCTAGAACACCATAAAGCTGCGGGGGTTGCGACCAGGATAAATGGTGGTTTCTGAGCCTGGCCGCAAACTTGGCTATCTCAACTCAAAACTAATGTTAAGGTGGGAGGGTCCCTTTAAGGTGGGAGGGTCCCTTTAATTAGCAGTTAACTCGTTAATGGTGCAAAATACCACCCCAAAGAGGTAGGTACGTTTTCGGAATCAGCGCGTCGAGGAAGCCCTGTACACCGATTTTCGGCCAAATCGAAAGACCCCGCTGTTTCCCGTTAAAATGTTTATTGGCCGTTAACTCGTTAACGGTGCAAAATACCACCCTAATGAGGTACATTTTCGGAATCAGCGCATCAAGGAGGCCATGTATGCTGATTTTCAGCCAAATCGAAAGACCCCGCCGTTTCCCGTTAAACTGTTAATTGGTCGTTAACTCGTTAACGGTGCAAAATACCACCCCAAAGAGGTACATTTTCGGAATCAGCGCATCGAGCAGGCCCTGTACACCGATTTTATGCTAAATCGAAAGACCCCGGCCTTTCCTGTTAAAATGTTAGCCGTTAACTCGTTAACGGTGCAAAATACAACCTCAAAGTGGCACGTTTTCGGAATCAGCGCATCGAGGAGGCCCTGTAAACCGATTTTCAGCGAAATCGAAAGACCCCGAAATATGCCGCTGAAATGTTAACGGGTCGTTAACTCGTTAACGGTGCAAAATACCACCCCAAAGAGGCACATTTTCCGAATCAGCGCATCGAGGAGGCCCTGTATACCGATTTTCATCCAAATCGAAAGACCCCGCCGTTTCCCGTTTAGATGTTATTTAGCCGTTAACCCTATTAGTGGCAGGCTCCTGGCTACCCCATATTAGTGGCAGGGGGGGGGGCTGTTTACGACCCCCCCTTGATATCTCGAGATCTAACCGGCCGATTTTCAAAATTCAAACGGCATTCAATTTGGCTCAACGAGATCTACATTTCTAAAAAAAATAAAATTAAAAAATAATAGGGGGTAGAGGGGGGTAAAAACGGGCAAATTGCAGATACATTTTAGACTGTTTATCACGGCCAGGTTTCTGAACCAATCTTAACGTAACTTTTGCCGATCGATAGAGAATGAACCAGGAATTCACATGGATCCTAAAAATATGCATTTTCAAAAATCATAGGCGGATACAGATCATTGAGATTGGGGGTACACAAAAAGTATAGTAAATAAGGTTTTTGTTGGTACTGTTTCTAAAAAGGGTGGCAATGGTCTTGTTATGTTACAATTTTCTTATGAGAGAACGACTAAAATTGTATTGGTCATGCATAGGCGGTGTCAGGGCACCTATGTTGGGAGGTAAAAAATAACCCCCCTTTTTGGACGCCTGGATCCGCCTATTATAGCAAAAACGTGTCAAAAGAGGATGCACAATAACTTTGTATATGTTATCACATGATACCTTTCATTCACTGTTCGTAAAACTGGTGCAGCATCGTGATCTTCGCCCAAATGACTCGCTTCACGAATAGGACCCCCAATTCCCAGTGCTCTGGAGCCGCCCCTGGTAAAGTTATGAACTTGAAATTTTCAGGGAATGTGCCCAATTTAGTTTTAGGAAAAGTCAGAAAATTTCAGCATCGTAGCTTCAGCGGTTTTGGAGATATTCCCGAAAAACCTGAGGGGTGGATAAAAACAACCCCCCTGCCACTAATAGGGTTAACTCGTTAACGGTGCAAAATACCACCCCAAAGAGGTACATTTTCGGAATCGGCGCATCGAGGAGGCCCTGTACACCGATTTGTAGCCAAATCGAAAGACCCCGCCGTTTTCCGTTAAAATGTTAATTGGTCGTTAACTCGTTAACGGTGCAAAATACCACCCCAAAGAGGTACATTTTCGGAATCAGTGCATCGAAGAGGCCCTATATACCAATTTTGAGGCAAATTGAAACACCCCGAAATATGCTGCTGTGAGGCTGATATTTGTTGCTGCTGGATTGACAGACGTCCCAAAATATGCTGCTGTGGGGAGGGCACGGACGTATAAATAAACTGGACCCGCAACCACCTCCATTCAGGTGAAGCCGACAAGGCGCCATCTTACGTTGCCAAAAACCCGTGCTCTGAAAGGTCATCGAGCCATTACAATTGGAATTGCGTCTAAACGGATGATCGGATCGAGATGCTGGTGGTACCATTCGACGGGCAATGCTTCGAGGCAGGTGATGATGCATGTCACAGGTCGTTCGGTGTCACGTGGCGCGTGCCACGTGCCGACAAAGTCATGAAGGGCAAAAACCTTTAAGCGACGCTCCAAATTAAACAGTGGGCGGCACAGGTGCCAAATTCACAGGTCACATGTCCCGGTGTTCGACCATTAACATATGGTATGCTCGGCAGCAGGGGGTGCGGAATGCACGCGCCAGGGGCGAAAAACATGTTTTGAGGAGGCATCCTCCGATTCCGGAAAACCTTGACCTAGGCACACCAAGTTTGGCACACTGACACGACTGGACGAGCGCTTTAAGGCGCTGTACAAATAGATGTGCTGGGGTTCACGGTGCACGTGCTGTGCACGTGCAAACCTTTCGACGTTGCACTCTGTGTCACATATACGGCAGAGCGGGTAGTGCTAGCAAGCTCAAAGTGCCAAATTTACACAGGCCATCCAGAATGCATTCCCGCATAGTTATTGAGCATATCCATCTCCTGGTGGACCCCGAAGGTGCGCTCTGCACGTGCAAAAAATTGTCCGCGCCGGGCGGTGGGGATGCCTGGACACCCCATGTGGATTTATGTAAATATCTCGAAAACGGCGTTGTGTAGCACCGCCGTTTTTGGCACACCTTTTCGTACATCTTTTTCACACATGCTGCGTAACTTTCAGACTTAGGTCACTCAAGGTTAGGTCATCAGGTTACGTCCAAGTGACCTTACCTTAGGAAATGTTATAGTGCCCGTCATAGCTACACAGACTGAACAATCGGTCTAAAACGTTGGCAGCGATTACTAAGAGCACCATAAAACGTAAAGTACCTCTACCTCGGAATTTCACTGTCACTGACCTAGGGTTCTGTTGATTTTGCGACCTGATAGGTAAGTCAATGGGAGACAATTAAACTGCGCTTCTTTCTGTTGCACGAAACTCATATAAACATACTAAACAATGCACTCAAATAACGGGACACGGGTAGCAGGGAAACGTGACAAATTTTATCGGGAAATTGCACCTGTGACTTCTACTTATGTCCTGGGGTTATTTCAGGTCATGATAGCCCTCCACAACATTTTGACAGTAACCTTTGGTAGAGACATGCAAGAGCGCTGAAAACACTTTTGATATGTTTAGTTCAACTTCGTAAATTGAGTTTGTTGCGAGTTCTACGGGTCATTTATCAGGAATGTTATGTTTGTTTTGATCACAGCTGATGTTTTCATGCATTTAGGCCAGGTCGGGTCAGGTCAGGTCAGGTCAACCAGTAGGTGTCCTGCCGCTTATCCATAGTAGGTGTCAACCACCACTGATGGCGTCGTAACATGTTACGATCGAAGGCTCTAAAACTATAACTTCTTAAATGTTAAACTGAATGCTAAATTCGAAATCAGCTCCAAAAATTGTCCTATGAACATGTAAAACTGGAAAAGGTGAACCAAGGTCATTAAAGGTCAGTGACCTTGACCTAATTTTCACGTGACCTTGACACCCACCATATTGCATGTGACCAACATTATATCACATGTTTGAACGCTTGAAACCACGAAAAGACAGCAAACGCGCGGCTAGTGCGCGCCGACATAAGCCGAATCGCGATTCCGGCCAAACATGGTCTCGTAATAATAACTTAATATCAGATGCTGAGTTACCGCTACTCAGTCAAGTTAGAACCATTTCTTGGCCGCGGTCACCGTCCAGGCCACCACATAATCGTATTACACCGCGCTTGCTCAATGCTCAGTTCGTATTGTAAAAGCACTGCGGCACAGCATAGATGCAGGCGCTCTGCTACTGCCATCTATGGGTGAAAGATGAAGATAATGGTTATTGCGGTACAGTATCACTACAGGCGCAAACAACGTGAAACAAAGATGCCTATGCTGCGCTACCGGGCGATGGTAGCGTAAATTTGCGTTGCTGGGTAGCTAAAAGTTTTGAAGCCCGAATTAACGTAACCTGATGACCTAACCTTGAGTGACCTAAGTCTGAAAGTTACGCAGCATGTGTGAAAAAGATGTACGAAAAGGTGTGCCAAAAACGGCGGTGCTACACAACGCCGTTTTCGAGATATTTACATAAATCCACATGGGGTGTCCAGGCATCCCCACCGCCCGGCGCGGACAATTTTTTGCACGTGCAGAGCGCACCTTCGGGGTCCACCAGGAGATGGATATGCTCAATAACTATGCGGGAATGCATTCTGGATGGCCTGTGTAAATTTGGCACTTTGAGCTTGCTAGCGCTACCCGCTCTGCCGTATATGTGACGCAGAGTGCAACGTCAAAAGGTTTGCACGTGCACAGCACGTGCACCGTGTACCCCAGCACATCTATTTGTACAGCGCCTTAAAGCGCTCGTCCAGTCGTGTCAGTGTGCCAAATTTGGTGTGCCTAGGTCAAGGTTTTCCGGAATCGGAGGATGCCTCCTCAAAACATGTTTTTCGCCCCTGGCGCGTGCATTCCGCACCCCCTGCTGCCGATCATACCATATGTTAATGGTCAAACACCGGGACATGTGACCTGTGAATTTGGCACCTGTGCCGCCCACCGTTTAATTGGGAGCGTCGCTTAAAGGTTTTTGCTCTTCCTGACTTTGTCGGCACTTGGCACGCGCCACGTGACACCGAATGACCTGTGACATGCATCATCACCTGCCTCAAAGCATTACCCGTCGAACGGTACCACCAGCATCTCGATCCGAGCGCTGTTCGGCAGCCGGCTATTTTGTGTGCAGGGTATGACGCATTCCGCGAGCCGACGTCACGGGCGATAACGTCGGCTCGCGGGCGAGCCGGCGCCAACGACAAACTAACGGGAACCGTCGGACACCCTCGGGGCATAAACCGCGGAGTAGCATATTGAGCGAGTCTTATAAGGGAAATTCATATATTTTCGTTTCTCAAATGATAATCAGGGTGTCTCTTACCTTTTCACGTATTATTTATGCTTACCTAACACTTCAGTTGCCAAATATCTGCAATTAATTCAAACGAAGGTATTTTCAGTAAATATCAATGCTATAGACCGAAATCTTTTGAATAAAAAATCCAACCAATAGAAATAAAAATAACTTATTTTATTCCAACCATTTCCTCCAAATTAACAACATAAAAACTCACTTTTACACACATCATTCATAATAAAGCATACTAACACGCCGCTTTTGACAATTGCGGCGTCGAGTGGCGCGCTGCTAGCGCTCTTTTTCGATCGCAGAGACCCTGCACGCGCGCGAGCACACTACGTCACGTCCGGGGGGCACAGGTATATGAAAAATCGCAGTGACGTAACACTTTTCTCGCTTCTCATTGGTCAATAGCCCGTTGCCGGGGTAACGTGCACGTATGTGAGCGCGGGCAAGAGTACTAGCCGGCCGCCGATCAGGGCTCCGATCATCCGTTTAGACGCAATTCCAATTGTATTGGCTCGATGACCTTTCACAGCACGGCTTTTTGGCAACGTAAAATGGCGCCTTGTCGGCTTCACTATCTTCCATAGGAGGTCCATTGGGATCGTCAGTCCAGTTTATTTATACGTCCGTGGGGGAGGGAGGCCGAGATTCGAGCGGTGATTGGTCGATTTTCCGCTAGCGCGCAAATACTGCTCGCGGAACAAGAGTTTGAATAATCCTCTATAAATGTCTGCCATACTTTTTGTAATAATGGCGCAGACGCAGAAGTGCGTTGAAGGTATTTAAAAAAAAAGTTGGACGCAAGAGCCAAGCTGCTACGCGCCCTAAACCAAAACAACAACAACAACGTATTTTTAAAAATATTTTATATTGATATTGATGTTTATTTCGTGTGACAGTAATTGGCGTTTCCTGGAGTAGGTATCAGTATCAAAGGTAAGTGCCACGTAGTTTTATTTTTGTGTTCGTCTATCTGGTCTATCTCAGTGTACCGGCTACCATTGGCATTACTTCACTTAGGTAGGTACCTACTTTTTTGTGATTGTAGGGGAGTGAAGTCATATTGCGCGCTGTTCCTAAATGCACCACACCATCCTCCTGCCCAAAAATTGATTCGAATGAATACTTGAATGTGTGCATATACTTCACCACCAAATACCAATAACTCGCTACCTATTCTTCCGGTCCACGGGGGCAGGTGAGGTGTCTCAGCTTTCTAGCAGACCATTTTTTGTGATTTTCTCTATTTTCTTATGCGAAACAATCTATTTTGCCTTTGCTAGTGTCATGAGTGATTTAAAGGTAGTGTGCCACCTTTGAAAGATTTCCCATTTTATTTTTCCTAGGATAAGAAGCTTCTGTTTTTACCTAATATCGCAAAGAAAATCAAAAATGGGCCTGGAATAGTGCCTTTTTCGCCTAAAAGTTAATCGGTTTTTTGATATGTATAACAACTGTAGTGGGCTGACCTGCAAACAGGCGTCGGCAACAATCGCGAATGCAGCGCACATGTGACAATAAGCAAAGGTCATTATAGAGTTACGACGTACGGGAATGAGTTATCAGCTGTCTAATCGTAGACAACACAATGTCGAGCCTTAAACTGTAAGCCTGTATTGGTATTGTTTCTTTTATTTGGCTGTCGAACATTATTTATGGTTTGAAATATGATTTTATGTAAAATAATTGATATGAAAAAGCCGTCTTTTAAGTTATGACCCCATTTCACCACACGCAAGTGGCAGAAATGACAATGATCAGCTGACGCATTTTCTTGGCCGAAGTCAGAGCGCGCGGCCCGACGCACCACCACCGCACCACAAAGTATGAGCAGAAGCCGCGCCCAAAGCCAGGGCCCCGGTAACGTGAGGTAGCCGAGTCGGGGCAGCGTGCGCTGACCCAAGCCGGGGCCGCAGCTTTGAGCGCGGTCTACCGCATCCCCGCGGGCAGCCCCGGGCTATCACATGACACCGGGAGGACGCGCGGCCCCGGCTTGGGTCAGCGCACGCTGCCCCGACTCGGCTACCTCACGTTACCGGGGCCCTGGCTTTGGGCGCGGTCTACCGCACCACCTAACAGGCGTGTTCGAAACCGCAGGAGATGATGATGAACGGGTTTATCGAAACTTGATTGGATGAGCATATCGGTAATAGCGATTTCAGTGTGTGCATTTATTGTTCATAGTGGTGTGAAATGTGGTTGGGGTATGACCGACAACCCGTCGGGGCGAATTTCGCACTGGGGTACTCAAAATTTGAAGAATATAAGACGTTTCCATGAGTTTTGAAGGTATGGATAAGTTCTAAAAATCCGGTTCTCCTTATCTGGGCCATTAACTCCATACGGTCCAGGAAAGCTGGCACACTACCTTTAACTTATTATCATTGGTAATTGTTTGTGTAATCATTTAATGGCAGTTTTGAAAGCTTATCACTACTGTGACTTCGCTGTCACAGCCATATTTCAAAGTCATGAAAAATGTGTTCAATTTGTAATTGCTCCCACCCTTTTTGTGGGACGCCGGTGAAAACAGGGCGCCGGAGGGCATATTAGTCACGTGACATTTGGAACTTCTCCCGCTCCAAGGGCCTTCTATATGCCAAACGTCACGTGTAAATTTCACGAACCTTGATCAAATCGCCCCAGGCGCCCTGTTTTCACCGTCGTCCTTTTTGTGCCCTATTCTTCAACCCAGAGAAACAGCATCTGGTGGTTGGTTCATTGGACACTTTTAGTACTACCATAAAACAGGATGTTAAGGGACAGTTTTGAGATGTTTTGTTATACAACTCAAGCAGGGTTGGAGATAGAAGCATCAAATTGCCAGCATTTTTGTGTGGAATTTGATGCTTTACATGCCTGTTACATTAAAGTTTTAAAAATATATACCTGCATCTTATTTATTATTTTTCATCACTGTCCCTTAGCACCCCAATGTGGGGTGTTAAGGGACACCTATATTATTCCAAGAAATGGTCATCAAATGCCCACAATTGGGGTGTGAAAGGGCACACAATTTATTTACTGAAATGTTTTGCATATTCTATCACAAAACAAGTCAGGTTCATTCACCACTAATGGCCTTTTAGCCAATTACAATTAATGCAGTTTACGCTTCTGGAAAATGTGCTAAATATAAGGCAAACAGAACCAAAAAGTACCCTTCTGTCATCAACAAAAACCCATTTTGAAGCTAGTCACTTGTTATCATGTTGCCCTCTTTGTTTTGGCCTTTTCATGATGACATCACTACATCAGTCTCCATTAACCCATCATTGTAAAAGAGAGTGCTGAGGGAGTTTTGAGGTGTTTTGTTATATAACTTGAGATGTGTTAGAGATAAAAGCATGAACTTGCCAGCATTTTATGTGGAATTTGGTGTTTTCCATGCCTACTGAAGGAAAACTTTATGAAATTATATTTGGGTATTATTTTTATATTTTCTTCCCTGTCCCTTAGCACCCCACATCTACCTCAAAATATGCATGTGTCGGGAAAAGAGGAAGAGGATGATGAATGAATGCGTGGATTTGTATAAGTTTTTTTCAGGAAACGTGCAATACATGTGACAATACACCTATGCATTCATTTTCCCTGTTAAGTGGACTACAGAATGATGTTCCACTTTTCACATGCAATTATTTGCCTGGAGTGGTAGGCTGTTGCGCATCTCATGGGCTGAGTTCACAAATTATAGCTTTGTCCCCAGTCCCAGTGCTCACAATCGACACGCATTGGCGGCAGCATTTGTTTTTTACTTCTCTTTCTGTGCATGTTTATTATACATGTTTATTGTACATGTTTCCCGAGCGGTTTTGTGACACTCAGCACAGCGTGAGACACAACCTCGTCGGGTGCTCACCGTACGCGCGCACAGAGCCGACTGGCGACCGTTGGGGCCGTTGGGCTTCCTTAGGGCTTCCCGCCGGTTAGGCCCCCGGCCCCCGATTGGCTCGCGTCGTCTGACGTCACCCGTGGCGTCACAAAACGTGGCGTCACAAAACGTGGCGTCACAAAACCCCGAGAAAATGCCGTGGCGGAGCCAACATTGCAAAACCGCGAGGGCAAACAGGAAACGTAATATGACACATTACAGCTCGTATTGTGACACTTAGTACATGATTGCTAACATCCGGCGGGTCGGCCACCGACTTGGGGCGTCCGCGGGGTTGTTTTCCGATTGCACGTATCGGAAGCTGACCTTCCTGTCTTGGAAGTACCGGGAGATGAGCGGTAGCCAGCTGTGGGGGCATCTGCCCTTGTGTATGTTGTGCAGCACTGACTTGTTGTCGGTGAGTATGGTCGTCCCCTCTGGTGCGTGCACGGCGGCCAAGAGTGCCGCGAGGTACTCAGCGATGTATATCGGCGTAGGTTGCGGGAGCGGCACCGCGATCTGGGCGCCTGCGTCTGCAAAGCCGAGTTGGTGAGGTGTAGCATCAACGGCGACGTGCCGGTTGCCTTGACGAAACCAGTTGCTGTAGTCCTGTGATGTGAACATCCATGGGTGGGACCATAGTCCGTCACGAACCCAGGTGGTGAGCTCTGGTGCTCGGTTGAGGACCGCTATCACCAGCTGTAGCGGAAGCCGGGCGATGGGCCGCAGGAAATTGATGTAGCCTCAAGCCTCCGAGTTGTTCCGCTTGGTGCCTGGTTAGCGTTGTGATCTTGGCCACGGTGCGTAGTACGCGCCGCTGGAGGGCTTCGGGGACGTGAATGGTCCGGTCCGCGAGGTTGACCTGCAGCCCGAGATACTGAACTTGCTGTACCGGCGTGAGCTGTGACTTGGTCATGTTGATGTGCAGGCCGAGTGCTCTGAACACATCAGGGATGTTCCTGAGCCGCGTGGGGTCCTCGGAGAGGAAGAGGAAGTCGTCCAAAGTAGACCTTTCCCCTGACGCCGGGGTGGTGCCGTTCGATGTAGCGCACCACCGCGCCCATGACTGCTTGCATGAGCGCTGGTGCCGATGCCAATCCCATTGGCAGCACTGTCCATGTGAATTGTCGACCGTCGGCCAATCGTACTCCCATGTATTGTTGCAGGCCAGGATGAATCGGGATATGGCCCAAATCAATCTTGATGGCGTAAGCTGGCTCGTCCGTTTGGAGGAGATCGATGGCGCGGGGCAGAAAACACGGCGGCGGCGTCAGGCGTGGGGTCAAGGCGCTTAGGTCGTAGATGATTCGCGCACGTTCACTGTCTTTCGCGAGCGCAAACACCCGGTAGGACGATTTTGGCCGGCCCGGCCGCAAATGTCCATGTGTCGTCAGCGCAGAAATGATACGTATTTTCTGTCACAGGTGTCACCGGTGTCACTTCAAAATGACCGCGGGCGTCCAGCGGTACGAAAGTTCGGGCGCCGCTGGTGATTATTGATCGCACGCGGTGGTCGTCTGTGATGTCCGGAGACAGGGACGGTCTTTCCCCGACGTCAATCCGGTGTTGTGGCGAGGCACTTGTTGATCGTGTTCCGCCGACGAAGGAGAGCGGAGATTCGTCTTCCTCTTCGTCGTTTTGGGCGGCTTCGTCGGCCTCTTCCTCTTGCTCTGGAGGGCCGGAGGCGACCACTGGTGGCGGTTCCTGATTTTCTGCCTGGGCAGTGCAGCAATGGCGGCGGCGGCGGCTGCCATCTGCTGTATGTCAGCCGAGGTCAGTCTCCGAAAATGGTCGATGAAACGCGGCGCCGGCGGAGGGGTCTGCAGGGCAGTCAGGTCCACCGTGACGACGGGCCGCGGACGATCATCTTCTGAGTCCGACGATTCGGCCGAGGGGGCGCTGTCCGCGTTGGGGGTTCCACCGCCCGATCCAGCTCGGACTCCACGTCTGAGAGGACTGGGAGGGGCTCCCCCTCGGGGGCCTCGGTGGCAGCATCCTGGACCGTCAGGAGGTCGGTGAGATCCGGCAGGGAGCCGATGTGAGAAACGGTTCCGACGGAGGA